TAATTGAGGAGCTGGCCTAGATACCAGAAGATTGTGAATCTGGGCCTTCCTTCGTCATCAAAACTGGATGAATGACCTTAGGCCAGTTATTCTTTCTCAGTCCAATCCACCTCACAAACTTTTTGTTGTGAGGAAAATAGGAGACAAGATATTTGGGATGTTCACTGCCTTTAATGGATCAAAATCAATTTTTAAAGGGTGGGATAAAAATCTAACAGTAATAAAATACTAATCTGAATGTAAGCTTACCTGATCCAGCGTTTTACAAACATCAACCAATGTGCCAACCGGTTGTGTGTCCTGTAAGCTCTCCTTTAGCTCCTTCAGTTCCACATCACGAGGACTTTGGGTCTCTTCCTAAAAGAGGAAAACAGCTGTCTGAATCCAAATCTTTCAGGGAAAAATGAGAATAATATACGGAAATCCCAGTTATGTTAAACATGAGCTGAGTCAAAAGGGAAAAAGTGACCTTATTGCAAATGCTTCCAAAAATTTTCAATTTCAATTTTGGGATGTTATTCCAAAAGAGGATGATCCAACTGTACTGTAAGTGTGGCTTCTTGATGGTGGGTTTGTTTGCCCACAGCCAAACCTGCAGAGCAGGATGTAAGGATGACTAGATGGTAACCAAGTGTTGTAATGCTCACAAAACTATCCCTAAAAAGAGAACAGTTCTGCAGGAAATACAGGAATAAAAGTCTATGGAGATTCTCAATCATCATCGCTTCTGAAGAAGCTTCTTAGATGAGAAGTGAAACATTTTCAACGAACAAAATCAAGAAAATCCAGTTGCCTTTTGAAAAGCATTTTTGGTACATGAATAAATAGTAAGGTCTTATTTAACAGAGAGTTAAATAAGAGCAGCAACAAAGGAAATTGAAAAACAGGAATATTTTTACAAATAGACAAGAAATACATCAGTTTCCTCAAAAATTTGAAAAGCAGTTCTAGAATTAAATTGAACGTTTAGTCAGATTTTTAGAATGAGAGTTGTCTTTTGTGGGGACTGTAATAATTTTCTTCTAAATTAAGTCATGGTGAGGATACTCAGAGGCATTTTTAGTTTTATTTGCTATAATTTTTCTTACAATTTTTTTTCCAGATACCACTTGGAATTCAAATTCTACTGAAAAAGCAGCTTCCAAGCCTGTGTTTGGAATAAGGAACAGCAGTGTGCTGTCCTAGCACAGAATTGGTTAAGGAGGCTAATAGGAACACCTCTATTCCTTTTAAAGTCTACTTCTACTGATATTAAATATCCCAATTAAATACAAATCCAAATAATTACATAGTTTATATGAGAGCCTGAAGCACTGGTCATTATCAGGTAAATATACGCACCTGTGACCGAGGCGGCAGAGCTGAAATGTTTGCAGCATGACTAGAGATGGGGAGGATATTCAGCTGATCATCAACAACTACACAGGTTTTACAAGAGACCAGAGAGAGGATGAACCTGCAGGAGACAAGTGAGAAAATAATATTACAACAGAAGCTGGCTTTTCCTCAACGAACAAAACACTTCTCCTCTTGCAGCCCCTCTGAGCATCATCCTGTGGGCCAAGTGGCTCAAGATATCTTCTATGTTTCAATAGAAGTAATTTAACCGCCAAGAAAACCTGTAGAGATAGGAGTTCCTTTCAACATGAACACTTCACTCATGGCCTTTGACTCTTGGATGGTGGCGGAACTTGGTTGTGACTTGTAAGGCCCTATATGGATTGGCCCCAGAACACTTACAGAAATGTCTTCTGTAAGTGGCCCGTTTTTTACATCGTGAAAGAAACTGATGATGGATCCCCATTTTCACAAGGCAGAATAACCCAAGACTCACAAGCCTTGCTTTTCCATAAGGCTCTTGGACTACAGAGTTGCCTCCCACTGGAAATTCAATTGGCCCTCAGGATGATGACATTCTATACATTTCTAATCCTAAATTTTAGGGAGATGTTGAAGTGAGAAATGGTGCCATTGGGTGTTTTTTTCTCCCTATGGATGGGATTGTTTCTTTTGTTGCTTTTTATTAGCACAATGCTAATTTCATTCTGTGGATGTTTTACTGAAAGGTTCTATTCTGAACACCAAGTCTCTTGACAGTAAGGCAAACAAGCCCACTCAATAATCGATCAATCAAATGGAATTTAATACACACATTTTGAATGTTACCACTAGAGGGCAGCAAACATTTTGAAGTGAAACCACTTCTTATATGAGAAAAATGTTCAGTTCAAACAACACATAAAACAAATAGATTAAATTTCTAAATTGCACTTTTACTAACTTGTATGAGTGCTCAACTTACCTTTCATTAAATCTGCCAACCACATCCTGATGTGCCTCTGTTCTATAGCGGGAATGAACATCCTGGAAAAAGAAGAGAATCCCTTTGTGAAACCTGAATAGCCATTTACTAGCCATACAATTTGACCCAGTAGAGTTATCAAATATTGTGTAGCCTCTGGTTGCCTGCACTACATTCCATGATCCACATCTCTCTAACAGCTACATTTCTAAAATTTTACGTTTAGCCCTTTCCAAGGCTTTGGGGAAAACAATAAATCAATAATGTATACGCCTTATTCACAAGAATACACGTGTACTCCACCCTGTCCTTCCCAAATACTGGGGGGGGGGGGGTAGGGGGCTCCCCTAAACAACCTGGCCTCCCAAATATCCTATAGGAAGGGAAAATACCTCCATCCCTTCAGAGAAGCCTTGCCTTGAAACACCTGCCTTCCCTGAGGGAGAACAGAGCTACTCCTCAAATAAGATTGCCAAGGATTTAGGGAAAGGGTCTACCCAAACCTCCCCAGCTGATACTGGCATTCTGTGACAGGAAAGAGTAAGAGCCATAAACTGCAACTACCAAAAGAATGCATCTCTTTAGCTGGACATTATAATCCAATGTTTCTCAACTGGAGCAACTTTCTGATGTGTGGGCTTCAACTCTCAGAATCCCCCAGCCAGCAAGATGAGCCCCACAGTTCACCACCAACCAAGTTTCTCTCTGCCATGAAATTTGAACAAGGGCATCAATACTTATTACAACAGGGAGATTATATAAAAGAACAGAAGTTGGGGAATAAAGCTTCTAATAAAAAAACAAATTAAGGTCTGGCGGCAGTTCATTTATTTCCCTTTCTATACAGCAACATTAATACAATTTAACAGAATGACAGGCCAGTTTATAAACCAAAAATATACCATGGTCATTGTATAAAGCTGCTTCAGGGAATTCATTGTCCTCAGAAGAATAGCGATGATACCTCCCCCTTCCACAGTTTCAATTGTGCGAGCAAGGAGATTTGGAGTCAAAGCTTCAAAGTCCTGAAGAAAATGATGGAGGAAATTTACATACTGTTTCCAGGTGTGCTCAGATTCTATCAACACCATACCCACTGCAACCAAGATAAGGCTTTTTACCCATCAGTTTTGCAACTAGCAATCTATTCTAGAGCAGAATGAACCAGAAACTCAAGCACTTTTGAGTTTATGTGGACTTGAATTTTCTCCCTTCTTTCACTTTTTTTGTGTGTTTCTTTATTATCTTTACAAACCATATTTTCTCTCTGAAAAATATATACTGCTCCAACACCTATGAGTACAGATTTTCATAACAGTTTGGGTGAGGACGAAAGTGAAGCCTGTGATCAAGAGATATATCAGTCAGCAATAGGGACCCTGTTATACCTATCACCGTGGTCCAGACCAGACATAGCTTGTGCAATAAGCATTTTGAGTCACTTTACTGCTGCACCAACGCAATTGCATTGGATGGAAGTAAAAGCATATTAAGTTAATGGGATTTATGTCTTTTTCAGTCATGAAGGGAGGAGTGTCAGAATATTCATGAACTGGCAGAGACATAGTTAACAAGGTCAGCCAATGAGAGCTGAGAATTGGAAGCTGAAACTTAAGAGTCTGAGCAAGGTTTATCTCTGTTCTGTACTCAGGTCTAAAGTGAAACTAACTTGATTGCCTGCTAAACTGAAAGTAATCTGTTCTGAGCTCCTGAGTTGCTGTTTGTGTTTGCATTATGTTATGTTGGAAGAAACTACTGGTATTTGTAAACTTTACTTCAATATGTTATAATGTATATAAAGAAGTTAATAATCCTGCTGAATCAGTCATCTGTGTGTTTTCTGGATTTGAATTTCTGCTGCAAAATCTCACAAAACAGGTAACCAGGCCAACTGATTTGTAGCAAGGACACTCTTCTTACCTGGAGTACACACATGCCAAAAGTATTCCCAAGAATTTTGTGCGTCTCATTGTAGTAACAATACCGAATGTTTGTGGCTGCTATGAACAATTCAAAGGGGTCATCTTGCTTTAGATCTAACATTCCAGATTTAATTTTCTTCTGCAACTGTCGCATTCTTTTTTTACGGTGGCTGAAAGCGAGAAAAGACATCACAGTAAAAGTTCTTAGAAGGATTAGATTTAAACATGCCTAATTCTATGCATGCTTACTTAGAAGTAAGTTCCACTGTGTAAAATAGGGTTACTCTAATGAACGATGCAGAAAATCGCAGCATTAAGGAGTCTAAAATTATCTGAACTTAGTTTTAATCTCATGATGCATGACAGATTGCAATGCTGCTGTGATTCAGGATGAAGGCTGAATAAACTTCAAAGAGCATTTTTTAAAAATGAAGAAATGTTGGGATATGCATTCTGATTATGAGTTACAAGCAAAGCAAAATCAAGTAGGCCATATTATCTAACATTAGGTGCTTTACTTAGGTCCTACAAAAATGAAATAAGTGATGAAAATTAACATTAACAATATGAGAAGCATCTTAAATAGTACATACTGCAAGGACATGAAACTGTTTTTCATTGCAAGCTCAGCATTAACATCATCAAATTATGATGTTATGCACATTCTTATTCTTAATAGAAGGAAAAGAAGACAAATCACCTTTGAAGGCCTGTGACATAGTGGAAGTATTGGGTCACTCATTACATTTGACAAATTCATCAGAATGACATACATCAAATGTTGCTATCTGAAAAAACACTCTACATAAATGGTAGCCTTCGGCTTACCAACCATCCAGAGTTATGGCAAACCTCCCCAGAACTACTGACAATCTAGTTTCAAATTTCTGACATTCCCACACACACGTGTGTGGTCACGTCATTGAATTTTGGGCACTTGGCAACTGACCCACAATTATGACTATCTGCAATGTCCCTTGCTCACATGACCACAATTTGTTTATTAAATTTATATGCCACTATCTCGCTATTCAGAGCCATCCTGATTTACTTTTTTTTTTTTAATGAAAATCACCATTTACTTATGGTTTTCAGGAAAAACATCCCTTGCATACAAGGGGCGTTTAACCACCCCAGTATTCATTTTACGATCATAGTGCTTGCTTAAACGTTTGCTTAATGATCACGGTACTTATCTAATGACTATGGCATTCATTTAATGGCCCAGCATTCCCTTAACAACCACTGCAAAAAGGTTGTAAAACTAGGTACAGTCACATGGTGGCCAGCTCAATGACCAGCACAAGTTATGAATGTAATTTTTAAATTACAGTGGTAAATCAGGGTCTACCTGTACCAAGAGAAATCGATACACTTGTAAAAATACATACTGAAAAGGTATATAAGGGCCTTATACAGTCAAGGGCAAAATAATTTAAGCAAGCAGTAATGCTACCTTGAAGAAAATGGGAATGTAATGCCCTTGATGCAACCGTGAGCATGAAGAAACACTGTGCATCTTTCCAGAGATTTATAGATTAAAGCTCCCAAAGTGAAAGGAAATATAAACAACTTTACCTGCTAAAGCCCAGCTCTTTCTTGTAACACCACAGCACAGTGGGTCTAGCCTTTACAGCTGCTTTAGACAACATATGATGAAGTATGACCACCTGCCAGGTGACAAAACCAAGAATGATGCTTATTGCTTCTGCAGGAATACAGGTTTGTGAACTGAATCAGAAAACCTCAATGATTTGAATTATCTTTTCATTTGGCAATTAACCTCCATGTGGCAGCCATGCAATCTCAGCATAAGGCACACCTGGTTGAAAGAACTGTGGATCGGTTCATGCAGTGGTGGGATGCTACTGGTTCTGCCCGGCTCTATAGAACCGGTAGTTCTGAAGAGCAGCAGACACCAAACCAGTTCTGTGTTTGCTGCTGTTTGGCCCACCCGCCCTCCTGGGCTCTTACCTGTCCTTTATTTCCTGCTTTTTCAACCTCAGCTGCTTTGCACGGCACAGCTGAGGTTGAAAAAGCAGGAAAAAAAGTGGCTTTTCAAACACTGCGCACCCATGCGCAGCGATTTTCAGCTGTCTGGGCGGTACAGCTTAAGGTTTTTTACACACGTACACAGCATGCATCAAGCGCACAAAGCATGCATGTGTGCTCAAAACATAGTCACCAAATTGGTAGTAACACTGGTTGGATCCCACCCCTGGGTTCATGCCTTCATTCATTCTGAAGCATCTTTTTATCTTCCGCATCACCCAATTATCCATAAGCCAGCTTCAATAATAAAACTGGTTTGAGAAAATTAGGGTTCATTTAACCACGATGAAGCATGCTATCTCTCAGCCCAAGCTACTCCGTGTGGTGGCTGTTTCAGGATAAACAGTAAGCTATCCCTGCATACACTGCATTGAATTCTCAAGAGGAAATTCAGGATATCCCATGTAATTTAAAATAATACAACTCAAAATCATTTCTGCCACTAAAACATCGTCAAGCAAATGAATTAGCAGAATGCAGACAGATCTCAATACTTGCAAGGCTTTTAGACCTTGTACAGATAAACAAAGATGCGAGTCACTGCACATATTTCCTCTACATGAACAAATCCGTAAAAAGGTGATGTATAGAAAACAGTTCTAGGAAATAATCCCTGCATTTAAATGTAGCCTGATGTAGCCAGGATTGAAAGGGCACCTGGAAGGAGGGAAGACTGTGTTTTTATTCAGACCAGTAATCAAAAAAGGCCACTACAGAAGGCTCTGCATCAGTAGTGGGATTCTACCTGTTCCACTACTGGTTCAGTGATCGTGCGCATGCAGCTTTCCACACATCAGCTGAGAAGATAAAGAAGAGAAAAAAGTAGAGGCGGGTGGGTCGATGTTGGGCTCTTCTCTTCTTTCTCCTCTGAGCTGATCCTTCCAGCCTTTCTTTCCTCTTCTCAGCTGATCGTCGGAGGCTTTTTTTTACTACCAGTTCAGCTGAACCGGGCCGAACCGGTGGCATACCACCACGGCTTTGCACCAAACATAGAAATGCTGCTATTAGGAGCCAATGTCAAAACGCAGCCTCTCTATCCCTTTTTGGTCAGCTTGCAGAAGAGCTACCCGGAGTAGGGGAAAGAACAATGGTTAGCAATGCTGGCAAGCTGAATTCCACATGCCTTGTTATATGATTGAAAGCATATGACCACTCCATGTGCCCTAGAGGCAAATCAAGTTTGTTACCCTATCCCTATAGGAATAAGGATTCCCACTCACCGCCACCAATTGAAAAAAAAAAAAAAGATGTCTTATAAATGGGTGAGGGGGTCATTTTACATTCACTGAAAACAGAAGATTCTACTGAAACTGGGGAATAGATGAATAGGAGAAATAGAAAAGACTTCTGCTGCTTGTGAATGTTAACATTTTTTATGGTATCTGAACAGGAGGTATCAGGTACCATCTTTCTCCTTTGCCCCATTTCCTGCCGTCATCTCTTTTTGTCACCTCCTCTCCACGCAGTAACCTCTTGTCCCTCCCAGCCATCAGCTACTCTCTTTCTTTCTTCTCCCCATAGAACAAGGGGAAGTAGTGTTTGTGGGTTTCTATATGTCAAGTAGCAGTGTTTGTAAGTGCTGATGAATTGTATAAATGGGATAATTGCTTTATAGTTGACTTGAGAAATTAGTAATTCATTTCTTTCTTTTACAAACCTGTACCCACATGTACATGCATGGCCACAAACATATATAGAGGGATCTCCAAAACTGATTTCAGCTGAAACTGGCAAAGTGTACAGGGGTCCCCAAACTTGGCCACTTTAAGATTTGTGGACTTCAACTCCCAGAATCCCTAGAAGTCTTAAAGTGGACAAGTTTGGAGACCTCTGATGTAGAAGAAGAAAGCAATGAATGTGATCGTTTTAAAGGATTTAATTTTCTGACTTTCTATGTCATTTTCTGACTTTTTCTTTCTTGCTGGGAGAGGTTAGTCTTTGATTCAAGCTCATCTTCCTTTGGTATAAACACAATGCACGTCTAGTTCATGGCTATACATCACCTGATCTTTGCCACGGTCCCCTACTATAACAAAGAGGGTCCTATGTCGCTCAGCCACTCCATTCTCTATTTGGATCCGAATACGATTATCCACTTTCTTGCGCTGCATTTTCAGCGACAGCTCCTGTGAAGTTTGTAGAAGTTAAAACAAATTAGTCTGCATACTATCTCAATTGAGACAGTCCGCAACGGTCAGCGGTAAAATGTTTCTTGTTCAAAGAGTTCATTAGCTGTGCACATTTCTATTCATCCAATCAGTTCAAAGGCATTCTAGTGGGGCTTGTTTTGGACTCATTTTAAGGCAAGGATAATGTGCTCCCTATGTATGTTTCCACCCAAATAAGTTCTCATTTCTAATGGAATTTTTTCCTAGGAAATGTATTTATATTCAACATCTTGCTGTTGCAATGATCAAGAAAATGTTTGGGAACAAAAAAAAGCATGAGGCCCTTGAACAGGGGTGTCAAACTCAATTTCATTGAGGGCCACATCAGGGTTGTGTTGGGGGGAGGGACATGGCCAGGGTGGGCGTGGCCAGTTTAATGTCACTCATTTATTATTAATTTATGCTCTGTAGACTCCAAAAACGATTGTTAATTTCAACAAATCTAAAATTATTATACCCTAAAAAGGTAACCCAGAATTCATTTGGTTGTCTAAAGTATCTTTTTCTCCAAAAGTGTATAACTGAAAATAGTCAATATACTTTGCATTTCAAAACAATGTTTGTACCTAAATACTCATGCATACCATTAATATTTTGACAACTGTATTTGAACATAATCTGTCTCCTTTGCAATATAATCTACAATTTGATGCATTTGACTACATTTACTTTGAAAAAGGACTAGAGCTTTCACCAAATTCTCAAAGAGGTTCATGGTACAAAAGGTTAAGTGGCCATGCCCTAGATATTATAGAAAACATATTATACAGTATTTATAATCAATCTAAATCTAAATTATTCTGTCAGAAAGCAAAAGCAAAAGCAAAATTTGTACAATTAATCCAGAAAGAATTATTAAAAATTATAGTACAGGAAACCAGGCTGGCCTATCTTTCTGTAAAGAAGCAAGAATTACCTGTATTTATCAAGCTACATGTCAACTAATTTTAGCTGCATTTACCCTTTTCATTTATCTGTTAATTTATTTTGCTGATTTTTCTCTATATTTCTGTAATGTTTATTCTCAAAGGGAAATAAGAATTGGTCTACTGATGTTACACTGCATTAAACATATTTACCAGCATTTACAGGTAAGTATCCACTGTTTACCCAATGTTTAACATGCCAACTTTTGATGTTGTGCCACTGTTGTGTATATCTTTCCTTAAAACAAATCCCATTGATTTTAAAAGGATAGATAGATAGATAGATAGATAGATAGATAGATAGATAGATATAAAAACTCAAACTCATGAGATTCATGTCATGACAAAGAAAGCACCTTTAGTAAGCCTAAATATTTGTATCATAACACATTAATTCATTTAATTATATGATTATGACTCTTAACTTTCAGAAATTAAATCAAGGTATCTATGTGACTGCAATTAGAAATCCGACTGTAATAAACAGCAAACATTAAACATCCAAGTTATATGTCTTAAACTCACAGGCTGTCTATGACTCACAACGTCTATGACTGCAATCCTATACGCCAACCTTTCCCAATCAAATTGCATTTTAGATATGATGGGTTGCAATTCCTATCTGGGGAGCACCAGAATTACTCCATGGGTAGGACTCGGGGGGAAAAATTGGTAGTAAATAGTGGGGTGAAATACGGTAAAAATGCTGGTGAAAAGTTACTCTAGCAGTTCTAAGCTTAAAACTGAGGTGGAAGATCTCCATGGCAAAGATTACTGATGCTACTACACAAAGCAACGTAGAAATCAGTCATAGTGAAAATAATTGATCTTATTTTCGAAAAGAGATGTTATAACTGCTGGCTAAAGAAGACACAATCTTATCTATCTATCCATCCATCTATCCATCTATCCCACCCACCCCCGGGATACTGGATTGGGAAAAATTCAGTAATCTTGTTTCTCAACTCATCTGAATACTCTCCAGATCCAGCCGCAAACCCAACACCCGTTTCCTCACCGTTCCCAATTCTCCCTTTCTCACTCCAGTTTATGCGCGAAGGGAATCCGGTCGATTATGGAAACTCTCGGAGCAGCTTCCCACGTGCAAAAAAAAAAAAAAAAAAACATGTGGCGCTGTGCAACGCACTGGAAGGATCCTGCAGGATGGCCCGCTCAAGAGGAAAAAGCAGGGCTAGCTAACGGGCGAATTCGGGTAGTGGGAGAGCAGGAGGGTGACGGAACCAAAGTAGAGCTTCGTCTGCCTTTGGATCCGGGCTGCAAAAAACAAAACGAGGATCTCTCCCCACGCCTGGGGAAAGCTTTTCCGCCCGGACGCTGCCTTCCGCCAGATGCTTAAGCGCCGGAAAGGGAGGAGCTTTGCTCAACTGCAGCCTGCTGGGGCGGTGATGGGATAGAGCTGTGAAGTTACGGTTGACGGAGATCTGACGTGGAGGCTTGGTTTCCTTTGGCAGATTCTTCGTGGTTGTCTACCACTCAAAGGCCGAGCGTCTCGGACCTCGCATCGCTTATTTCAAGATGCATCCCAAGTGCTGGATTAAAACTGATTCTAGCCGATTGATTGATTGATTCTAAGCGAGGCTTCTTTGCGGAGACGCGCGTTTAAAGTGGTGGCCGTCTCTCACGCGCGGATATTTCATCTGCATAAAGCAGCTTTGTGCTGTGCGCAATATGATTTGATTTTGATTTTTGAGGATGACGATTCCCGCTAAATGTATATCGCGTGCATGTTTCAGCCACTTCCCTACATGTTCTTTTCATTAAGATCTAAGGAGTTGCCCCAAAGAAGAGGGAATCAACCTATTCTCCCAAAGCACCTGAAGGCGAGACAAAAAGCAATGGATGGAAACTAATCAAGGAGAGAGGCAAGCTAGAATTAAGGAGAAACTTCATGTTAGAACAACTCATAGATGGAACAACTTGCCTCCAGAAGTTGTGAATGCTCCAACACTGGAAATTTTTAAGAGATCGACAACCATTTGTCTGAAATGGTACAGGGTTGTTTCCCTGCCTGAGCAGAAAGGAGTTTGGGCTAAAAGACCTCCAAGGTCCCTTCCAACTCTGTTATTGTTATTTTGCTAAGCTTCTATGCCACTCGAAAACATTTGAGGGGAATGTGTAAATGACACAAAGCATGTAGCTAATTTTTTAAAGAGAAAAATGGGTGATGTATTCAGGCTTCAGCAACGAACTACAGGTGGTAAGATTAAATGTAAAAGCCCTGGGTAATACTGAAATAGAAGAAATTTCTCATAAAGATCATAAATTGACACAACTACTGGCATTACAAGAAATCAAAAGAGCCATTGCAGCTTAGGAAACCAAGAAAGGTCCCTGGTGCAGATGAATTTCCAATGTAATGATCTTCCAATTGAGATTGGATAACAGGATAATTGAACCTATATTACTGTAGGAATATCAATAATTTAATTTTTCTACATTCCCTTTGTCTTAAGTATAAGCAAAACTGCTGGAGGATGTTGCAGGGAGCAGAACGTTCTCCACGGTGTCTCCAGACCCTGTCACGTCTGTAACATGTGCTCAGTGTGAACCTGCTTTCATCTGTGAAGAACACAGGGCGCCAGTGGCAAATTTGCCAATCGTGGTGTTCTCTGGCAAATGCCAAACATCCTGCACGGTGTTGGGCTGTAAGCACAACCCCCACCTGTGGATGTCGGGCCCCCATACCACCCTCATGGAGTCTGTTTCTGACCGTTTGAGCAGCCACATGCACATTTGTGGCCCGCTGGAGGTCATTTTGCAGGGCTCTGGCAGTGCTCCTCCTGTCCCTCCTTGCACAAAGGCGGAGGTAGCGGTCCTGATGCTGGGTTGTTGCCCTATGGCCGCCTCGTCTCCTGATGTACTGACCTGTCTCCTGGTAGCGCCTCCATGCTCTGGACAGTACGCTGACAGACACAGCAAACCTTCTTGCCACAGCTCGCATTGATGTGCCATCCTGGATGAGCTGCACTACCTGAGCCACTTGTGTGGGTTGTAGACTCCGTCTCATGCTACCACTAGAGTGAAAGCACCGCCAGCATTCAAAAGTGACCAAACCATCAGCCAGAAAGCATAGGAACTGAGAAGTGGTCTGTGGTCACCACCTGCAGAACCACTCCTTTATTGGGGATGTCTTGCTAACTGCCTATGCTTTCCACCTGTTCTTTCTATTTGCACAACAGCATGTGAAATTGTCAGTGTTGCTACCTAAGTGGACAGTTTGATTTCACAGAAGTGTGATTGACTTGGAGTTACATTGTGTTAAGTGTTCCCTTTATTTTTTTGAGCAGTGTATGTTCTATATACTTTGGACTGTGAACAATCAACATAATTTTTATATGAAGTTCTCTTAGCATGTATCATTTTGATATGGATTATAAAATCCATGCTGGTTGCTTTTGAACTATTTTTTTATCCACTTAAGATTGCCCACAATGAGAAATGAGATGTAATATTTATCATAATCAGATCTGTAAGACATCAAAAATAAATACATGATCTGAAAGCTGCATGTTTGCATTATGCACTGAAACAGTTAAGTGGCTGGCATTGTTAGTTGATGCTGCTGCCTTTACAGCAACTGTTTATTATGTTGGTCATCTGTCATTTCAAGGCCAACAATTAACATCAAAACACATTAACACAGTAATTATCAACGTTACAAGTGTGTAATATGTGATACGTGGATAAGATTCTCAGATTTGAGGAGGCATAGAGAGATCAATCCATAAATGAGCAAGCAAATCATATTGAGTTTCCAGTATTTTGCCAAAATTTAGCAATGGCCTGATTTTTCAAGTCAGATTATCTCGACACGAGAGTAAATTTTACTCTAAGGTACTAATTAAGGCATTTCTATAAGTGTTAACATATTTGAACCCAATGAATCTAAAGCGTCTTCCTCATGTAAGGTGTAAATTGACAACTTCTCTCAGGGAGACAACATGGCTTCTCTCTTCAGATAGAAATACCCTGAAAGAATAAAAAAAATGTATATCTACTTTTAAGCCATCTGGAGAAAATCTTGATGCTGATCCAAAACTGTAGAAGCAGTTAATCCACACCCTGTATCAACCTGTTTCACCTGCAAAATTGTGGGGCATAAGACTAAATATCCTTCAATCTTCTGAGTTCACTGCACTAACTGCATTCAAGACAGTAGCTATTGCTTGATTAAAAAAAAAAATCCCTTAAGACAATTAAAACCATTCCTTTTCAGATAGTTTAAAATCCTCACGTTGTGCAATTCTATCTCAGCATCACATTTTTAAAAGGTACCCATTTTATATATTATTTAAAAGCGTACTCAGTCCAGATTTTTGCAGTTAAAATGTACACATAATTGCAATCAAATTTAACCAAATGTTAAGCAGGTAGAAATCTGCATGTTTGATTTTATACATATACACTATATTTAAAGCCAGCCACAATTCATTCGGTTACCTTGGACAATAAACTACACATGCTAAGCAGAATGTATTTGGATAACATTCTAATGTAAAATTACTGATGCTAGTGATGTCCATATAAAAATAAAACATAACGATCTTAATGTTACTCAGATTTGGAGGGGAAAAAATCATATTTCACCATAAAAGATAGAAAAAATGTCATATTTCACTGGAATAATAAAAGGCAATTGTTTTCCAGTTAGATCTGCAATCAAAAGAGTAGAACTGTATAGGCACTAATTCCAGTTTTGGACAGAAATATCTACCTCAATCACCAATTTCAAATTTGTAAGTTTTAAAACTCACAATATTTGCATAGGTCTGTATTATGAATTTGGTTTTGAACACATTCTCACATAAACAGGCTTTCTTATTTTAAATGTAGTTAATACACGAGTTCTAAACCAGATGTTATGTGAAAACTGCAAAAGCAATGTTTAGAACAAGGAAAATAGTTATAGTTAAGTGTAACTATAAATTATGTAAGAAAAACAAATGTGAACCAACAATTGAATTATCAGAAGCAGTTTTATAAAAATTCAGCTGTCAGTCATCAATGTGTCTGAAGGCTATTTGCCACCATTAATACTTCAATATCAGCAATATTTTTTAAAATGCACTCAGATGCAACTCATTGGGCATCAACTCAAACATCTTAGTTTGAAGTGAAAAAACTCATATATTTGATGTAATTTCATATCAAGCCAAATTTGCCAAATTTGTTCTATTCATACTTGATGTATATATTGAAGATTTAATATGTTTTAAATTTATTTTTCTAACCTAACATTCAAAATAATACATTAGCTTCAATGTTTCTAATGGTATGCTCGATGTAACACTGTTCAGATACAGTAAAAGCCCACAATTTCAACATGTGTTGTTTGGCTTACTTATGAAAAAGACTAAAAGGATAATAAATTGATAATACTGAACAGAGAAATTTGTATAATTATATCAAGTAGTGAAAAAGTAATACAAAAACTTTGTTACCCAATTAAAAATTTATGTTGATAGCTTTTCCTCCACTGATCGGCATCTGGTTATATTAGGTTACATGCATTACTAGATGAGACTCCAGATTTACACATGAATGTAGCCTCTGATGATTTCTTGTGAAATTTTGTACAAATGGGCAACTTCTAATTTATATCTTACCATTAGTGTAGGAGGAAATTAGAACTTGGCCCAATGGCAATGTTTCCAACTGGTCAGCCAAAATGGATTTGAAGCAACATCCTGCAATGTCCTTCATTTCCACTTGAGATTAGGTTGGAGAAAGCTGTTGAAGCAGTTTAGCTACATTCAAAACATACATTCAGTTCATTTTTTTTTCTATACCAGTTTAATAACATGTAAATTATAAATGGCAGCATCAGGATACTCAATGAAAATGGGGAAAAATGAGATGGTAGGAGATGAGGAAGACAGTGAAGGTGGCACTACTGGTAAGAAAACCAAAGAGAAGAGTAGCAATATGAAACATAGTGGAGAGGTATTTCTTTTCTTGCTACTTTCCCCCCCTCCTATAGGAGAGACAAGCATGACAAGTAGGTGAATGAGCAATAAATACACACTAGTCACACTTACAAACATAACCCCCCATAACCCTGTTTCTGTACAGCATAAGACCAAAGACTGCACTATTTGCCTTCTTGTAATAAAGATTTTGAGAGCGGTTTGGTGTAATGGTTAAGGCATCAGATTAAAAACTGGAAGGTGAGTTTCTGTCCTGCTTTGGGCACATAGCCAACTGGGTGCCCTTGGGACCAGTTACTTTTTCTCAGCCCTAAGGAGGAAACAGTGACAAACCATTTCTGAAAAACCTTACCAAGAAATCTGCAGAGACTAATCTAGGTGTTCTCCATGAATGGAAGGCCAAAAAAAGAGAAAAGATTTGGATAGTTAGAAGCTAAGCTGGGATTCTGCAAATTCCTGGATGCATGAGGATAAATAACTGACACAAAATAAGGCTTCTTTGTCACCAATGAAAACAGGAGATAAAGCTCATGAAGCCTATCCCTGACAAATCTTTTCACTGCCCATAAATGGCTTGAAACAGGGCAGTTTTCTTTCATATTTGGATTTTTGCCAAGCTGTAACAGTGGAATAATTTTGTGTTTCAATTTGTCATCTAATATCTGAGGAACATAAAATAAGACTACAACTAGACTGAGAACAGAACCAAGCAGAGTCATACTCATAATTGATTGACTGTGGTGAGTTAATCTAAGAACACAATGTATCTTCTAATATTTAGGGAAATAATTCTAATTTCTAAAAATTAGTTTGTTTTGTTTAAATCCAAACATTGTGTTCAATATTGCTAGCTTGTCATGAAAGTCAAAACGTCAACTGTTCCATTAAAAAGTCATCTCAATTTTGTTTACAAATTACTTGATTCCGATACCAAATTCGGTGCCATTAAAAGTTCCTGCTATTCTAAATACTTTTTGTTTTAGTTTAAGGAAGAACATTTGTGGCTTTAAATCTGCCTTAAAAGCAATGTTCCATAAGTAAGATTTGTTTTGTTCTATGCCTCTTTTCCCAATCTAAAGCTAGAAAGAGAGTTGCTTATTTTATGTAAACATGTAAGTTACTGATAAATTTATATGCACTGCAGCTTGTTTAAATCACATTGGGTAATCTTGATTTTAAAAAATGCATCACATAGAATACATAATCTGCTTGTTTGGTTTCCAATTTATGTTTGGCTTCTGATACTATATTTGAAGTTACTTTCTATTAAGATCTTTTTCATTAACAGTACCTACAAATAATAATAATAATGTAGAATATTCTCAAAGAATTAAAGTAATTATCATAATTGAAGAGTCTACATATTTGTAGAATCAGGGAAAGTTGCCAACGAAACAAAAAGAACAGTACTTGCTAACCTTAAAAAAAAAACAGTATCTCTATAATCCCAATGTGATTAACACCATTACTTTTTTACAGGTAGGCTGTCCACAGAAGCAGACTCTTGTAACTATCCTTTGAACTAATTCTTGTGTAGATGGAAAGATTCATTTCCTTCTGCTTGTTCAAAACTTTTACAATCCCCATATAAGACAAATTGACAACATTGAGCCTGATTATTTTAAAAAGTCAGATAAATGCACGTCCTTACTGGATAAATACCTTACTGGATAAATATCTGGATTGGGAATCATCTTTATAAGTGTTGAGAATGAAAAAAAATACTGTTCAAAGAATGTGCTTGTGGAGATTTCATCAGTCATTGAAGATATGTTAAGGAATACAGGTTTTTTTAATATAAACATGTTTATTTATCTCGCTTAGATCTGTAACTGCTGGCTGTAATTTCCCTTAAAAGGGGAAATGGATCAAAACATTTTCTGGTGCTTTTCAAAAAAGAGAAATTTAAAGGACACCAGCAGGAATTTGAGATTTCTCAAAATCTTTAAGCTGTAGGGGGAAAAAGACATGTGACATGTAGTATGCATACCCATTAATTTCCATCAGTACCAGCATCAGTTATTAAGGTGGTAATACAGCAAGTTTAAGTATTAATGACAGACAATGTGCAAATTATAAGGAATGATAGAGGAATACCAATCCTTACAAACGGCATTGCTATCCAGGAAATGTGTTCAGGAGAGATCTCTTTCAACACTTCACATTTGAAAACATGTGGCTGTCCAGATTATATCTTCTATTTCTTACACAAAATTTTAAAGTGCCAATCAAAGCTTAATTTGGGTTTACACAATTATATCAACAGATACACAAAACAATTAATGCATCCCTTTTACCACAGCAAGTCAGACTAATAAAAAAAAAAGTGCTGTAGCTAAGGGTGTGCCTAAGCTGTTCACCAGTTTAATATCTAGTCAGGGCTCTTTATTATGCATGTAAATATTCAGGTGCTTCAATGAAACAGAAAAAGCTGAAATGTAATTGTTGTTCTGTTAAGCCACACTTCACTTCTTCCATCTTTTTAATGTAAAAGTTTAAATATATCAACTGTCTGAGTAAAACGTTTATGAATTTACAGATTCTTATCCAAATTTGCTGCAGAATTATATGACATCAATGAAGTCAGTTGGATTATTTCTGCCTGTTCAATTAACTATAGATATTTTCTTTACTCTGTAACTGCCATTTTTGTTTTAAATCAAAGCAAGGGTCTGGATCTCATGTGCAAGGCTCAAGGTGACGCTTAGGACAGAACATGCAGCGCAAACGGCATTTCTTTCCATATCCGGGTAATATAAAGCTGACAACTGTAGTCTTGTCTTTATGGGCAATGAAAATAATCCCTTTACTATGAACTTCCTATAAAGGAAAACAGAGATAACTCTTCTGGTAACATGTAATAGTACACTGGCCAGTGTTTTTGGCGTTTTAAAAGTAATCTTGAGTATTAGATTAATTCACTTGCTGAGCATTCATTTGAGGCATTCCCCTGTTGGGTCTTGGGGGCCCTCCACGACCTAGAAAATAAAAATAATGATTTATTTTGGAACTGAGATTTTTGATTTTCAAGATTAACATTTATTTCTACATAAACTCTTTAAGTTTGAAAATATTACCCACTATCTGCCTTCTCAACAAAGAAACACATTTCAGATATACAGAAGCAATGTCCTGAATGTCAGAAATAACGTACAATTTCATACCAAAACCTTAAACATCCTACAAGTTCCTTACTCATAGACACACTCCTACCCTAAACTTCTTTTCAGATAATATTTGAATGGAATGACAAAATACTACAGTCAATGATATGGTATACAATTCTAACTGGCTTGTTTATGGTTCTGTGTAGTCCAGCAACATTGAAACTTATTTTTTTCAGAATGGTCAGCTCCCCACCCCTCCAAAAAATACTGATTTCCACACTAATGGCAACAATAAAACAACACTTCTGAACAAATAATAGCATGAAAGGGGAATATACAGTTGAAAAAATAAATTAACAACCATAATTATAAACTGCAACTATTAAAATAAACTTGAAGTATCTGAAGATAATCAACTCCAGAATCTCTGTAAACATTCATCATAATTAAATTATTTAATATTACCTCGGGGGACTCCCCGAGGGCCACTTTGTCCAGAACCACGTTTGAAATTCTGTTGATATCCATCCTGAAATAAAAAGACCAGTCAGTAATGAAAAAGTAAAATCCAAAATTCTAGTGTTTTAGAAGAAGTTGTTTAAGCAATGGCAAAAATGGAATAACAACAAAAATTTTCAAAGTCTTTGACTATTGAATTTCATTTCAAGACTGTTTTCCCTCTTTTCTTAACATTCTGTATACTCATAAGATATTTGCCAAGCAATTGGGTATGAGGGGGATTCAAATACATATTTACAAACTATGATATTACAATGTACTTAGAAAGTCAACCAAGAATTCCCTTATTTTGGATGATTCTGATTTGTGGATAAGCAGTGGCCATGAAAGTCTTTTTACAGGAAATAATGTACATCTACAATCTAATAAAGCAGGGTAACAATAAAGGAGAATATTTGTAAGCTCGGGAATGAAATGAATCCCAGAGTACTTCCAACTTTAAAAGTTAAAATGTGATCTGAAATTAATTTTTATTGAATTAATTTTAGATCCAATATATCTTCACAAACAGTTGTAAAAACATATTTTATCTCCTATATAGTCTACATTCAAAAGATCACATATAGTTGAATACACTTACTCGCTGATAGTTGGGATAGTCTCGTGGAGCATTAAACTGTGCCTGGGTGTAACCACTATTTGGAGTGTTGGCAAATGAAGGACGGTAGCCATCATATCCTCCTAAAAATCAGGATAAAACGATTACTAGATAGGATTATCTTATGAAATATACATGAATATATTTATGATGTATCCAGAAGTAGCATTCTGCGCACAAAGAATCTTATTGAGCATTCTGAGAAAGCACCACAAGGGAGGAGGAATAAGTATGTTGATTCCTGCTTGTAATTGTTATAAGTATGATCATGGAGAATTTCCTTAAAAACGGAATACACTAGAACTTCACAATTGAATATTAAATTCTTCTTCTATCTATACCATACTTAACCTTTTAAGATAAAATTACCAAATAAGTGTCTAAACTACATCTGGGCTCCTGTGCACCATTCATTTCCCACTATATGCAAGATTTATTATAAATTATTTAAATGCATTAATAAATTCAGGCACCAAAATAAAGAATACCACCAAGAGTCATAGTTTGTATAAGTGAAAGACTTGCTTTTGTAAGCCAAGGAAGTAATAAGCCCTGAAAAAGATGCAGCCATTTAGCCAGTTACAGATGGAAAGTCAGTTTCAGTTTCATATACATTATACTAAACTTTTATCAAAACACTTGTAATTAGTTCCTTCTCATACTTTGCCCTTGTGTGATCTGCTTTGTTCTTTATTTACTAAGACTACACCAGAGCAACTACTACAAAGTTTATGTAATGCTGCACTTTTTTGTTTTTAAAAAATTAAAGCATGCTACTCTAATGTTTAAGCTTGTTGATATTCTGCATTTCTGAAAAACATTCAGAATTAATCTTAAAAGGTTTTTAAGTTTTTACCTCTAAACCCATTGGCTGGTCCCCTGTATCCATTCATTAAGCCTCGAGTGCCGCGTGATCCACCACGAGACACTCCCCGGCTGTTATAATAAGGCTGACCGTTACGTGGGAACCCAGTATTCTGTTGTGGAGGCTGCTGGTGGTTACCTGCCACTTGATGGGACTGGTCCGGGGAACCATGGAAAGTGCCAACCACTAAAATGAAAAAAACCAAGACAGTACAAGAAGTTTGAATGTATACTCCAGTTTCCTAAAGACTCAAATAATATCAAGCTAACTCACCAATGTACTCTGCTTAAGAGCCACCAAGTAGGACAGTAAATGTTTACCTATCTAAAGAAAGATTGTTTGCAGAATTAAATCCAACATGGCAGTCTGAATTCCCTAAACATGTAGAATGGTCCCTGCATTTCACATAATTTAAAGAGTTCACTCTGTAACTTCATCAATTTAGTTTCCTAAAGTTTTTTTGGGGGGAGGGGGTCCCTTTTACCAGCTAGGATATGGGTTTTGTTCAGTTTGGTATATAAAATCATCAACATTAATATTTATCCCATAGCATTTCCCCCTTTGTAAAACCATACAAATATTGCAGAACTGCTTTTTTCAGAACGTGCACAATGTATTATATAAACACCATCAGTAAAGAATTATTTAGTCTACATCTCTTTAAAACGTTTTTGAGAGAAGAGCATTCAGTTTTTCAGAGTTTTACCTGTCTGAAGCTGCTGTTCTTGCTGAAGTTCTGATTGTTCTACTGGATGAGGCTGATTGGAGAATGTCTGGCTGTAGCCGGTCTGGTACTGATTTTGTTGCTTTAGAGTTTCTGGCTCATTGACAGGAGGAACAGGTGCATTCATGTTAAATACCTAGGTGGATAGTAAGTAAAAATCAGTTGAATTTTTAAACTCAGGATTCAAGTGATATTCTATAAACATTTCAAAAACATAGACCAATTTAGTCTAGTGGTTAAGACACCAGGTTCAGAAGGCACCAGATATGAATTCTAATCCTGCCTTAGACATAAAAGCCAACTGCTTTGGGCTGTCACTCTCTCTCTCAGCCCAACTCACCTCACAGGATTGTTGTTGTGGGGAAAACAGGAGGAAGGTGTGTTGGATATGTTCATCATCTTGAGTCATTTATAAAACAAAGTGGGACACCAATAAAATAAAATAAAATAAAATACTAATAGTATTTAGAGAAAATTGACCATTATCATGATGCTGACATCCAAAATTTTGTTATCTATGTTTTTAATATATTTAATGCTTACCGTCTGCATGGACTGGAATGGAGCTGCATTAACATTGATTCCGCTGCTATGCAAGGGTTTGCTAGAGGCAGCCTGAAATACCTGAGGCTGGGATGCAGCTGGAATTGGCGATGATGTTGGTGTCTGATCTGTACTTAAGGTTATTGAAGCCTGACAAATAAAATACAACGTAACATTAGCAAGCAAGACATCAATACCATTGTTAATTATGAAATAGGTTGTTGCTGATGAAGTGTGCCTAACAAAAGGGGAAAGTGTAAAATTACATAGTATCCTCTCTTTATTAAGAGTAGAAATATCCTAGCATTCTACTCTGAATTAACCTTGAACATGAAAAGATTACAGAAAATAGTTTCCTGTGCAGGAACAGTAAACCTACAGAGGCATTTCCATGTCAATCAAATATCAATTATATCTAATCATCTTTTGATTAGATGAAGTCTACCCAAATTTAAATTTTAAAAATTGCTTCTAAAATGTTCAGGATCGGAGCAGAGAAACTTAAAAAAGCATTCAAGTTAAAAAATTATCACCTCCCCCCACCCTGATATCTAAAATAAATGGTTTCCAATATTTTTTAAGAGGGGCACTCATCTATATATGCACAACTCTTTCCCCTCCCAAGCATAATGAAGTCTCATAACTTGCCTGAATCTGGTCAATTGATTCTTTCTGAGGTCGCTGTTCTGTTGAATGAGAAGGCTGATACGTGGGCTGGGATGCTGTATATCCCTCACTTGTGGAAGAAACCAAGGGGACCTGTCAAAGTTTTAAAATTTAACAGAAACTCCGGCCAGGGCCTCTCGGTAAGTCCTTCCTTTGAATATGTAGAAACTCTAGAAGGCTTTTATTTCTTCTAATTCACAAAGTGCTACAGGTAGTCCTCGACTTACAACAGTTCATTTAGTTCAAAGTTACAACAGCACTGAAAAGTGACTTATGACTGTTTTTCATAGCTACAACCATTGCAGCATCCCCATGACCATGTGATCAAAATTCAGATGCTTGGCAACCGGTTCACATTTATAACTTTTGCTGTGTCCCAGGGTCATGTGATCACCTTTTACAATCTTCTGACAAGCAAAGTCAAATGGGAAAGCCAGATTCAGTTAACAACCAGGTTACTAACTTTCAATTTCAGTGATTCACTTAACTGTGGCATGGAAGATCGTAAATGGGGCAAAACTCACTAAACAAATGTCTCACTTAACAATAGAAATGTTGGGTTCAATTGTGGTCATAAGTCGAGGACTATCTGCATTTTGACATTTTCCCTGAGTTTCTAGCTAGGCCAAAAAAATTTAAAATTGTTTAAAATTTCTGCAAATTCTAATATTAGCAGGCTTTCGTATTATTTATTTTTATATTACAGCACTGCTTTGTGAGATAGCTATATTAAGGATTACAACCATATAGTTTTTTATTTCATAATCTTTTAAGAAAGCCTAGTAATTATACTAGCTGCACCAATTTTTCTAATGATCCTTTCTATTTCTCCAAAAGCTTTGGAGAACTGCATAATTTGGATAGGAGATTCAGTTCATAGATCTTTACACAAGTAAAGTATAAAGCCCAGTCTCTGAACCAAGTAGGAGCACATTCATCTCATCCACACTTTGCCTGGGTAAGCCTGCGCTGATTTGCAAAGCAGAAGGAAAGCCCTAAACAAATTTTGAGAGATAATTAAACCTGTAAGAGTAGGCACCTGTCAAAGCCATTTGCTAATGACAATTCCTACTTATGACCATTTATTTAGCAATGATGGTGCTGCAAAAAATGACTCACGGCCTTTGCAGTCTCCCCGCAGTCATGTGACTGTGACTTGGGCACTATTGTGTATTTACAACAGTGTCCCACTGTCATGTGATCACAATTCGCCACATTTTCATCTAACTTCCAACAAGCAAAAGTCAATAGGGAAGCCAGTCACAAGCGTGGTCACATGCCTTATTTAACTACCATGGCATTCATTTATTGACCGTGGGAGAAAGGGCCATCAAACATCTCAAGAACCACACTTAATTATTAATTTTCAGCTCCCTGTTGTGAGACTAAGTCAAGGCCTACTTCTCTTCATATGCTGGGGAGGGAAAGGGTTCTGACATCATCAAATTAAGAACTCGTCTAATCTATAGACTGATAGATTTTATAGAACAGGTCAGGCATTAGATGAACAGCCTAATGAACAACCTATGCTGGCAACTAAATGATGGAAATATAAATAGTTATCTTGGAGTTGTGGGAAGCTTTGATACTATTCAACATGGCATCATTCTAAACAATCTGATGATTGAGACTGCCTTGCAGTGGTCTTAGTGTATTTCTCTGGACTGTGCATAGAAGGCAGTATTGTGAGACTACTGACTACTACCATCTAGATTACTGACCAATGGTATCCCATAGGACTCCATGTTGTTGCCTATATACTCTTATACATGTATTAAACTGCAAGGAAAAGTATCCATAGCTGCGGGGAATGAAGCACCATTAATGTTCTGGTGATTCCCAATTCCACTGCTCCTTCTTTAGGGAAGTAGTCAATATCCTTGGACATTACTGAAGCTCAGCAATTGGGTAGATAATTTAAAACAGATATAATTAAATCCAGATATGACAGAATTGGTAAAAATGAATGAAAAAAGTGAACTTGAGGACTAGGGTTCAGGAGATGCTACACAACAATCTATGAATGTTTTCTCCTTCTCAGGCATCACTAGATACAACATGAGTATGGAACACGTTTGTGTATTTATATTTAATGCATCTATTTATGAACAACTCAGATATGGCAATCGTTTCCCAGATTTTATTTATAATCTTGACATGACTAATATGGCTTACCACTACTCCTGAAAAGTAACCAGAAGCAAAAACTAGTACCAAATTTCCTTTAATTATTAATACTCGATGATTTTAGCATTGATTTTAAATGTATATTTCCTATATTTATTTCCTATTTGTATTGTATTTTAGCTGAAGTATTGAACTGAACAGAAAATTAGGACATAAATAAAAATGAGCAGTAAAATAGGAGAACTCATTATATGAAACCTCAAAAATAACTGGAACGAATGCTACAAGTAGTCCTCAACTTACAACTGTTCATTGGATTCAAATTTGAATTGAATAAAATAAAATGATTTCAAACTTACAACAGCCTCAGAAAAAGTGACTTACAACCTGCTACTTGTATTTACAATCATGACCACCTTGGTGATCACATTTCAATTAGGTCCCTTGGCAACCAGCTCATATTTATGACGAGTTGCAGCATCCTTTGATCATAATTTGCAAGCTTTCCAGCCAGTTCCCAACAAGCAACATTAATTGGGGAAACGACAAAGTGGCACAATTGTGGTATAAAAATAGTATAAAATTGGTCTGGTCATGACTTGCTTAAGGACTGTTTAGTGAAATTTTGCTCCAAATTATGGTCATAAATCTAGGACTACTTATACAAAAACTGGCCCACGGTTCAAAAATACTCCTCTATGATTTTTTAAGGGAATGAAAAAACTACCTCTAAAGTGGTGAAGATATTCATCACAGAACCAAGAATAAACTTAAAATCAATTTAAAGTCTTTTATTACTTTTCCAAAAGTGTATATTTGTGATCATGTCATTCTGAAACCGATAGTAAAAATTAGCAAAAATTTTAGTTATATGAAATGCTTGCTCTATTCTGATTTTCATTTGTGGTTTTAATCATGGCTCCATCTTTAATCCTAATCCTTATTCACCATTAATTTTAATGGAAATTTATTTAATGAGTCCAAAAACCACTTTAAGGTCCTAGAAAGAAATACTTTTAAATTTTAAAACTACAGTAGTTAATTGGTATTTAAACTAATCTAACATGTTTAGACTCAATGAAAACTGATGGTGACGTATGAATGGAATTATACATTCTACACAAACAATGCTTGCTGCAACTATCTAGAACAGGGGTCGCCAACCTTTTGGACCTCAGGGAATACCAAACTCATACTTTTAAATCCTGAGGACCACTAATATGACTTTTTTAAAAAAAGATAACACACTGCTCAAAAAAATAAAGGGAACACTTAAACAATACAATGTAACTCCAAGTCAATCACACTTCTGTGAAATCAAACTGTCCACTTAGGTAGCAACACTGATTGACAATCAATTTCACATGCTGTTGTGCAAATGGAATGGACAACAGGTGGAAAGCATAGGCAGTTAGCAAGACATTCCCAATAAAGGAGTGGTTCTGCAGGTGGTGACCACAGACCACTTCTCAGTTCCTATGCTTTCTGGCTGATGGTTTGGTCACTTTTGAATGCTGGCGGTGCTTTCACTCTAGTGGTAGCATGAGACGGAGTCTACAACCCACACAAGTGGCTCAGGTAGTGCAGCTCATCCATGTGTTGTAGCACATCAATGCGAGCTGTGGCAAGAAGGTTTGCTGTGTCTGTCAGCGTAGTGTCCAGAGCATGGAGGCGCTACCAGGAGACAGGCCAGTACATCAGGAGACGTGGTGGAGGCCGTAGGAGGGCAACAACCCAGCATCAGGACCGCTACCTCTGCCTTTGAATCCAATTGAGCACATCTGGGACATCATGTCTCGCTCCAGCCACCAATGCCACGTTGCACCACAGACTGTCCAGGAGTTGGGGGATGCTTTAGTCCAGATGTGGGAGGAGATCCCTCAGGAGACCATTCGCCACCTCATCAGGAGCATGCCCAGGCATTGTAGGGAGGTCATACAGGCACATGGAGGCCACACACACTACTGAGCCTCATTTTGACTTGTTTTAAGGACATTACATCAAAGTTGGATCAGCCTGTAGTGTTTTTTTCCACTTTAATTTTGAGTGTAACTCCAAATCCAGATCTCCATGGGTTGCTAAATTTGATTTCCATTGATAATTTTTGTGTGATTTTGTTGTCAGCACATTCAACTATGTAATGAATAAAGTATTTAATAAGAATATTTCATTCATTCAGATCTAGGATGTCTTATTTTTGTGTTCCCTTTATTTTTTTGAGCAGTGTATATTTAATATAAATTTTTTATTTTTTATATTAAATATAAATGTACTATTAAAAATTATGTATAAGCTTATTTAATTAGAACAAAAAATATATAACAAGAAAAGCAGAGCATTCCCCCCCCCCCCCCCCCCCAAAAAAAAATCTGGTCTCCTGTCATTTCATATTTCCCCCAAGTCAGAGGAAACCTCTCCCTCCTTTACCAGGTGTGGCTGCCTGGAGTTGGGGGAAGGAAAGGGGGCTGGGTTGGAAGCCTCCCTCCACCCCGGGTCTTTAACACCTGGCTTGCTTCTCTACTACTGCTCCTCCTCCAGCACCTCCTTCTCCGGGTAGGGCGATTATGAACTAACCGAGATGCTACACTGATACCCCAGTTGCTCTCTTTCCCATGGTAAGACTTGGCATGTGGAGAAAGGAGCTGGCAGCTGCTACTTGGCGGTCCTGCGGGCAAGGTGAAGTCATCCCGGTCCCAGTTAAGACATACCAGTCACAAACCCAGAGTCCAAGCTGAGAGGGGTTGCTTCCCCCTGCTGGAAAGAGCAGAGGGCGCAGGCACACATCGTTCAGCACAGCAGACAACCTCCACTCTGGGCTGACAGGCCATGTACTGAAGACCAGATGGCTGCCGGGAAGGTGGGGCAACAGGTGATACTGGCGGCGGATGGACTCATATGCACGGGAGATCGTGGCATAGGCCTGGCCTGCAAGGGGGTGGGGGTTGAGGGAAAGGAACCTCTGAACTGGTGTTGCCTCTTGCCTCCGCGCATCAAGGAAGTTGAACAGCTGCCAGCGATGCCCTCGGGGGAAGTTGTTGCAAGGGGGAGGCTCGCCCCCTCAAGAGCTTCTCTTCCTCCTCGCCAGAAGCACTCACACGCAAAGTGCTCACCGCCCCTGACCAACAAGCCTCCTCCTTCCCGCTAAGCGTGAGTGCTTCTGGCAAGGAGGAAGAGGGGGTCAAGCCTCCCCCTAGGAACATCTTCCCCTGAGGGCAGCTGCTTCCTGCGGCTCAGGAGGTCCGCGCTCTTCCTGCTGCTGCTCAGCCTTGATGCGCTGAGGCAGGAGCAGCAGCCACAACACGGGTTTACTAGGGAGACTGCAGGATTGCCCCACCTCCCCACCTCAGCATGCTGTGGCCCACCAAAATTTTCTCACGGCCCACCAGTTGGCGACCACTGATCTAGAAATGGCTGGACAAAAAAAAACAACAGTATTTTGAAAGACTCTATGTGAAATTAATTAATGGCTGTGATTCAATTCACCCTAAACACTTTACAGGCATGGTTCTAATTTGGAAAGAATATTGCAAGTCACAATGACATGGTAATTCAAATACTAAAATAAAGCCAACTTCCACAGTTAATTTCCAAGGATAATTATTACTTCAGAATTTTGAGTACATGAAATATACTTTGAACATACTTTTGAGAACATGAAATATTTTGTTTCATGCAAATGTTTTGTTTCATGAAAACCACCCCATCTATATTTTCCAGCACCTAATCCTAACCTTTCTTCTGCTGTGTTTAATTATTTTTACATACCATTCAGTCTTTCATTTTACTAATGTTTTTTACTCTACTTCTGTTTGGAATATGTACCCAGCTGAAACGTATTTCAATCCAAGCACAGATCTCCTGAAACCGACCACCCAATGTTTTGTATAACCCTAGTTTTAAGAGACTGTTGCTGCCTTCTCATTGTGATGTCTCCATCTGTTTGTACAGAGACATTTACAGATTTCTTTCTATGTAACTTCCCTAATGGAATTAATGCTAAGCTAAGCAGTATGCTAAGTTATGATCTGTATCATACTTTGAGTATGATAGGAGTTCAGATTTTTTTGAAAAAGGAGTTTTATAAATATTTTTTAATTGTTTGTGGATTCTTCTATAACCAGAGCAGGGCTTTTACATGGGCCTGAGGAAATATTTTTTTCTGTATTTCCTTTTCAAAGCAAATATGAAATAGTTCCGGATGATATCTCAAAATAGTGTGAAAGCTACAAGCTTGGGTTTTCAAAGGAAAACGGATTGCCCCAGTTTTGGTAATCTAGAAGTACATTATTAAAAGTTCATCCACTTCTAATTACATGCTAATGAAGAAAGTATTGTAGAACCTAGCTCAACAATTCCTAAATGAGGAGGAGGGAAAGGTTTAGAAAGAAATATCCAGCCATTAATTATCAAGGATTCTTACCTGTGTAGCTTCAGGTTGTACAGGAACCTGGGTTGTTTGTGCAAGTCTAGATTCAGCATGAACTAGAAATAGGATAATATAATCAATATTGACATTAATACAGTGGAAGTTTCTTTAAGCATGCCTCATTATGTTGCGCTTGACTACTATAATTTCTCCATGGAACTATCCTTAAAAATATCCAGAAATATCAGCTGATACAAAATGGATCAGTTAAGTTTCTAATTATACAAACAAAAATATGTAATTCAGTATGGGAAGAACGATTTTCTATTGCTTATAAGCAGCCATTGTAACCTCTAAAGTTGTAAACGAAGGACTGCCTCTCCTATTATAAACCTGTCCATATATTAAGACCTGCAGGAGAAATTATTTTAAGGATTCCCCCAATTTCAAAGGTAGATTGACTTGGAGAAACATTTCAACAGGATTTCCTTAGGATGGGTGTTAAGTCCCATTCTTTCCACTTTAAAATGTACACTTAAAATGTGTCTTTTCAGCCAGACTTTAAATATTAATTATAAATATTAATTAACATGTGAATATTTTTATTAAGATTTATTTTTCCTTGTAAAGTTGAACATTCTACAAATGTAGAAAGGTGGGATATAAAATGGAATGAAATGTAAAGATACCTAATTACTTGAGTTTCATTGCCATTGAGTTTTGTATAGTTCATATACAAAAATATTATATTACAGACCTGGAGGGCAAACCATCTGTGGTATCTGCAAAGTTTGTGGATTCATAGGCTGAGCTGAAACAATAGCAGGGTCAAGTGCTTGGTTCTCAAATTCCAGCATAGAGTCCTAGATAATTAAGCCAAAATTTAAGCCAGCTTCACTAGAAGTATAAATTCTTATATTATTAAGACTAGATTTAAGACAGCTTCACCACAGACAAAATCAATGAAAATCATTCAGGGCCAAATTCTGTTTCGGTTCAACTGAAGAAAACAGTTCCTCAATTGGATTCTACTCGTTTTTTAAAATACTGTAATCTTATATTAATCAAATTAATTACCTGCATAAAGTTATATGGGCCTTGCATTTGTGCCATAAGATCCTGCACCCGTTGTCTTCTAATAAGTGGGTCTGCCTGAGCTACAGTTGTAAGCGTATGGGCATCTGGAACTGGAGGAGATGTAGCCTGTGGTTGCTGGAGTGAATTTACCACCTACATTAAAAATAATCAATACAATTTCAAACAGTCTATAATTAAATGTTAAATTGACAATATTATCTACTAGCAACCTTGCAATGATAGTATATTTGTACTCCAGGGGAAAAATATAAAGATAAATGTTTTTCAGTTTTAAATAGTTCTGGGTCAATATTTCCTTTAAAAAGTGCAAAAATGGGAAGGATGATTTGGACAAAACTAGCATTATATGCGATTAGCTTACGTAAAAACTGAGAAACAAAGCAGATCTCTGTAAATAAAGTATGCTTGGGATTTTAATGACAGTAATCAAAGGATTTTATACAGATAGTCCTTGACTTACGACCATTTAACAATGGTTCAAAGTTACAATGGCCTTGAAAATAGTGACTTAAAACCCGACCACCCACAAAAGTTATGAACATTGTACCACGCTTGCAGTCATGTGATCACAATTTGCGTGCTTGGCAACCAGCTCATATTTGATTGTTGCAGCCCCTTGCTGTCACATGATAGCGATCTGAGACATTGTCAGCTAGCTTCTGACAAGTAAATTCAATTTGGGACGCCAGATTCCCTCAACAACCATGCTAAAATGGTAGCAAAATCAGGTCCAGTCATGTAATGGTTCACTTAATGACTGCGTCACTTACTGCCAAAAATTCCAGTCCTAACTGTGATTTTAAATTGAGGACAATCTGTAGATATATCTTTATAAAGGGGAAAAGATAGGATTCTTAAATGTTAGAACCTAACTAAAACACACATAAACTTGACAGTAAAGAACTTATACAATTCCAACAGCATTGGTATGCATTCATAAGGAGATGCTAACCTTATGATTGCTTATTTTTATTATATATTAATGCTCAAATGCTCTTTATATCAATGAAATTATCATAAATATTCAGTGCTTGTTATTACTGATACTCTACGCACAACCATACAGCTGCTGAAGTTTTGCATTTTCATCAGTTCTGATCCATTTATATTAATATAAAGGCTCAAATGATATATGTAAGGATTTCTAGATAAATACAGTGTATAAAATAATACACCACTAAATACAGGTAGTCCTTGAGTTACAACAGTAGTTAAGGCTGGAATTTTGGTCACTAAGCATGTCACATAACCATATCACATAATCATGGCAATCCTTTTAGTCCCCATCATTAAGCAAGCACCTCCTTGCAACTTTCTGCCAGCTTCCAATAACCAAAGCCAGTGGGGAGCAAAGAGGTGCACATGTTGCCAGGGAGAGTGCACAAATAGCTGGTAAACACTGTACAAGTAGAGCCAATCTCAATAAGAATAGATGAGGGTGTGCAGGTGATTAGCACAACACAATTGCAGAGAGATAGGGGGAGGCAGCATAGTTGAGAGACTTATCAAAGCAACTTGCAACTTTCCTTGCCATTTCTCCATATACTTTGCTTGTTGCAAACTCTGATCATGCAAGTTGAAGGCAACTATTCCAAGTATGAGCTGGTTGTCAAGCGCCCACTTGTTCAGCATTGTTGCAACTTGCAACAGTCACTGAACAAGTTGTTGTAACCCGAGGTCTTCTATATTTGGAAAAAATATTCATTCCTGTCAAAGGTTTTTTTGAGAACTGGTTCAAAATTAATTATTCTGTTTTCATTACCACTATAAGTTATGAAAGAATTATAACTTACTGAAATTTTATAAAAGGTACATAACAATTTACCTCAACAGTTTCAACTGTCCACTCATCTACTTGTTCCTTTTCATTATTGCTGAACTGAGCCTCTGCCATGAACTGTCTGTTTACATACTAAAATAAAAGTGAAAGAATATAACAATAAACCAACAACATTCATTCTAGAAAGGTGACTACAGTATTTCTACTAAAGAGTACCTCTGTTGATTCAACTTCACTTGGTTCAGTGTATTCTTCTGTTGGTTCTGGCTCTGTGAGGAAAATACACTCTTTACATAAAGCTTTATTAAAATGAATTTTATATTAATAATATTTAATTATTAAACTTCTATGCCTAATTTTCAGTAATTGTGGATGGCTCCAACAATCAAATAAATCACAATCAAAAAATAGTAAAAATATTCTTATTTATCTATATCAGGGGTAGTCAACCCTTTTATACCTACCGACCACTTTTGTATCTCTGTTAGTAGTAAAATTTTCTCTAACTGCCCACTGGCTCCACAGTAATGGTGATTTATAAAGTAGGGGACAAAACCCCTAACGCCCACCATGAAAGCGGGAACGCCCACTAGTGGGCGGTAGGGACCAGATTGACTACCACTGATCTATATATTAGCTGTGAAGTAAAATTATAACCGTTTATTTCAATCCACAAAATACAGGCCTTAAAATCTAAGATATTTCATTATTTAATAGTTCTCTTGAACTGTATGTTTAAAAAATATTGTGCCCTTCTGAAAATATTAAGTAGCTGGAACACTGACTGTGTAACTCACTAATCTTCTCTTTATTCCCTACCCCATCTGAGTATCCTAGCAAACATTTTAGCTCATTTTGTGGGTTGTGGAAATTTGAACAATTAAAATAGATGTCTTGAGTTAAGGGATCCATCCCACCCATTAACATCTCTCAAATCTGTTTCTTCTTGTTGGAGGAAACTGCAAAATGGATAACTCATATCTGAGAAACTTGGCTTCCATTTTATATATTAACCCTTGAATAAACTAAAGTCTAAAAATTATGGCTTCTCCTTGTAAGTTCTTCACTAAACATATACTCTTGTAAATTCAGAAGCTAACACCACTTGATTTAATAATGCTTTGCTAGCCTAGTTTTTAAAGGCTGGCCAGTGTGACATACATTTGACCAAATTACTTTGTATGAAAATAAATGTGAAAACAATTTAAAAATCAATTTCTAAGTGTGTAGTGCAGGGGTGTCAAACTGGATTTTTTGGAGGGCCAGTTCAGTATTGTAGTTGTCTTCCATGGGCCAGCCGGGGGCTGTGGGGGGGGAGGAGATGAGACAGATGCTGTCCTGCAGCACCCTACCAGCCAAAAGGGGGCATGGGGGAGCCACGAGCAGTCCCTGCGCAACCCGTTTTTGGCCTGGGCGGCCTCCTGAACCACTCTGCCAGCCAAAATGGGTCGCGCTGGGGCTGCCCCCCCATGGCCCATTTTCACTAGCAGAGGCACTGCAGGACAGTCCTTTGCTATTTCCAGGCTGGCCCCGCAGACTGGATCTAAGCACCATGTGGGCTGGATTCGGCCCACGGGCCTTGAGTTTGACTACCCCTGATGTAGTGTGAGTATAGCCTTTTATATACAATATAGCATAGTAAGCAAACTGCACTCAACAAATAAGTACACACAAGGTTTCAAAAATTCTACCATGAGTATTATAAATTTTGACTCAGAAATAACTCCCATTGAGCAAAGTATGAATCTTTAATTAACATGATTAGTATCAGACTCAATTAATTCTTTTAATTACCAGCTTCTGTCACAGAATCTTCAACTGCAGGTGCAGATGCTGTCTCCTCTTCTTCACAAAGTCCATTTTGATGATTGTGAGTACTGTCAAAATAACTTGTTTGAAGAACGCGTTCAACAATTTCTTTTAGGGCTTTATCTGTTACCATGAAAACATCACTTTTTAATTGTGTCATTTACCAAATATCTTTACATTAACTACAGGAGAGAGAAACTATCATTATGTTTCAATTATTCCATATTTTAAAAAGTATATCAATTTGAAAAAATGTTTCTATTTACAGAAGCATATTAAAATGCATGTATATTTGATGTAATATAACGTCAGCAAGCCGAGTGCTTTAGGACCACAGTAGCGCTGACTGAGCTATAATTTCCAAACAGATAGAAGCTTGTTGACTGGACAATCTAAGCGTTTCTGCCTAAAGATGAGAGCCAATTTTTGCCATGTCCCTTTAGGGCCAGACTGAGTCGTGAACTGGGAAAGTATCAGTTGATAGAGGGGCGTGGTAAAAAAAAAAATGAAGGACTCAAGTCTCTGGGCAGAAAGGCATGTATCTACCCATGTGTGGATTCCAATCGATGTGCTGGAGAAAAGCATTTTACTGGGCAGGCTTACTCTAGAGAGAATACTAGTATACTGAAGCCTATTTGCTCAGGGCTTCTGAAGTTGTGAAGGATTTCTGGAAGCTTCCAAAGTTGCATATGAACAGGCTTTGGGAAAGAAGGCTTGGTATGATCTGGAGATGCTTTGGGTAGACTGCATGGATTTCTCAATAGAAAGGCAAGCAGCATGCAACAGATCTAGAGCACTGGGTGGTAAGGGCAATTGTGTTGTTCCCCAAGGCTCATGTGACTTGGAGAATGTTGCAAGGCCTGGGGCATTACCAGCTTAGTCAGTCTGCTAAAGGCCTCAGGCCTTTATTTCAGATCCAGACTTGCATTGCTGAATGCATTGAGTAGGACAGCCTAGATTGGGAGGAGATAGACAAGGGGGATAGTTGCAGCAGTGCCATAGTTTTACGAGTATTGCTTTGTAACACAGCGGCATGCAATGGCCATAACTTAAGGCATACTTCCTAACTCTCTTGGTTTAGCACCATCATAATTTCAAAGCCACTGAACAATCATTAAGCAAGAATTAGCTGTATTGTAAAATTAACCTGGCTATCAATTCATTCTTTTTCAGTAGGAGACATGAAATTTGTAATATTTTTCTGCATAATACGCAACTTGCAAATCCAGTTTCTGCTAGGAAGTATTTGCTAATCATTCCCAGCAATATAATACAGGGAAACCTTTTCTAGATGTCAACGCAATTGACTTTACATGTAGCATACCAATATTTGTGCTGTGACTCAGGCACTCATATTAATGTTATGTCATTACAGAAATAATATAAATGATGTAAATCCCCAGGATGTGATTTAATGGACATTCCTAAATGACCAACTTTCTTCCCAATTAGACCATTAACACAAATTTTAAAAATGCTCTAATAATAGCTAATAAGATTGCACGATTAGAAAACACAATTTAATACAGGGCTGTCAAACTCATGGCACACAGGCTGGATGCATCACGCACTGCCATGCCCATGTCCAGTTTAGCAGAGGGGGGAAAGTCACAATACATCATGTAACGATGCCGTGATTATGTGAGTTTGACACCCAATTTAATACGTTGATTATGGGCCATCAAACTGTTTCTGACTCTTAATGGCCACATTCATAACACTACATCCCTAACCTGGTCTTTTGGGTCTTCCAACAGTGAACCTATATAACAGAGTCCATCCACCATGTTGCTGATCATCCTTTTCCTCTCTATCCTTCCACCTTTCCCAGCATCAGAGGGTTTTCCAAAGAAATTATATATTTTCATAATGTGGCTGGACTAAGGTAATTTGAGTCTACGTAGTCTTTTGTGTCTTGAAAGAGAACTGTTATTAGTTGATGGTCCTTTGATTTCTTGGCTGTCCATGGTATTCCCAGGAGCCTTCTCCAACACCAAATCTCCAAAATGTCAGTACTCTTCCTCTCCTGTTTCTTCAAATTCCAACTTCTGCTTCCATAGACAATCACAGGGAATACCATGGCTTGCACAATTCTTTGTAGATACAGAAACATTATGTTTTAATATCTTATCCAAATCTTTTGTTCTACGAAGTATTAATCTATGATAGGTTTTCTGACTGCTTGTTTGATAGTTGATCTCAAAAGGCAGAATCTATCCACCATTTCAATATCTTCACTATAAATTATAAGTTTGGTTGTTCTACCTGTCATTAGTTTGGTCTTAATTTAATTAATTTAGTCCCATTTTTTTCACTGTGCTCCTTGACTTTTATTATCAGAGCTCATAGATCCTTTGCAATTTTAGCTATCACCATGTTGTCATCAGCATAGTATAACTTATTGATGTCTCTTCTTCCAGTTTTAAAACCATGCTCATATTCTTCTAATCCAGCTGCCCTTAAAATAACTTAGCATATATGTTGAATAAATAAAGAGAAAGCAAAGCCTTGTCATGCAGAGTTGCCATCCTGGAACCAGTTTATTTCACAAAATTCTGTCTATATAGTGGCTTTCTGATCTGTGTATCATGAGGACAATAACGTGTCTTGGGATTTCCATTCTTCTGAGTACATTCCAGAGCTTGATGTGATTAACACAAACAGAAGACTTTCTATAATCATTAAAGCACACAATGACTTCTTTTTGGTATTCTTTGGCATTCTAAGTTATCTATCATGCATCAGCAATAATGTCTCATGCTCCTTGCCTTTTCTAAAACAGCTTGAACATTTGGCATTTTCTTCTTTTGGATGATCCTAAGCATTGTTTTGCTAGCATATCAAATTAAGGATACTGTATGAGAATTTGCAGTCTGTCTCCTTTGTTGATAATACCATAAAACCACAGGTACTACAAATGATAAAGAACCACCCTAAATATTCTAAATGTTATCTTTTGAAAATCATAAGAATAAAAATACTTACATGTTGTTCCGCATATAGATTTTTCCTTCCCCTCCAATAGATCCCACAAATGAATGGATGCCTGTTCATATTGTTCATTCAACCTTCAAAAAAAGAAATTAAGAGAAATGTAACGTTACCTCAAAAGTTTCCTGTTGACAAAAAAATAATTAGATCACAATTACAATTCTGAATTATTTTGGCTTTATACTCAAGTATATACCTTATGTTCATGTCACGTTCAGGTTCAACCAGCTTGTAAAACTCATCAAGTATGGATAGTTCTGCTTCTGTTAATATAGATATCCCATTTGTTCCTTGTTTTAGGTCATTGCGCACTTCATCATCACCCAACTTGTCCAAAATATACTGCAATTCAAGTACTGTCTTTAAACGTTTTTGTTCAGCTTCTTCTCTCATTAACTGTTCCCGTCGAGCTGTCTTCTTTATTGTTTTTTGAATCTGGTGAAAAATATGTTTGCTTAACAAGTGTTTTAAAAGTAAACAAACTTAATGGTTTCTACATATTAAAAATCCTAAGCATCTTAACAGGAAAAATCCAATACTTAAAAACTATTTCAAATATTTTCAGTGTTTCCTGAAAAGTTTCTGAGATCATAGCTAAAGATTTTCCTCCTCGCCGCACTATTTAACTAGATTTATTTTTTGAACAAATATATTCAACCGCCAATCTAAACAAGGAATTTTGGGATACAAGCAGAAATAAAACATAAACTATACAATTTCAACACAAACTAATCATTTCAAAATAAATTGAACCAAGGAGCCTAAAAATTATATCAATGTATCAAACCACACTCACATCAAAGATCCATTAATATACTGGGCCCACTGCTGGGGGAAGTGCCAGATTTTCAATATTCTGAAAAGCTAATAGGATCAGGGTTGTCTAAATCTGAGGTGGAGGAATGGGAAGGAGGCTATTCCACAAGATAGGCCTCATTTCCTGGAATCCATCAGGTGACAATTCTTCATCACTGGGAGTCTGAAATCCACTCTGCCAAATCTAAAGGAACAGGCAGAAATCACTGGGAATAGAACTCCCATAAATAAACTGGCTCAATTCCATATAGAGCTTTAAAGGTGACAACAAAGATTCGCCTCTTTAAGGCATAATTAAATGTAATTAGTCTTCTCCATACTAGCAGTCTTTTCCACTATTCCACCAGCACCAGATACTACTTTTCTCACCTCCCTTTTTTCACTGTTGTTTTATGAAACATTTCAGTATCACACATCATAAATGAAATCAGAATTCTTGATTTTATATTTTCTATTGCATTTGTGAAATTACGCACAATGTACTTTGTCCTCCTACAGCTATCTTCAGTTTCTGAGAAATTTATCTCTATGGTTAGAATACTGAACAAGGCACAATAGGAAATTGCTAGGTGGAAGAAAACATGGGACGGATCTTTCCAGTTAATTTATTATCTGTTTTTTTCCCCCCCAAAAAATCAATAATGTCAAACACTAAAACAAATCTTAATGCCATGTAAAGCATCTCCAGTAGATAAGCTTTTGCCTTTACTTGAACATATCCAAGAGAGTTCACTATTTCTCTAGATAACTAGTTCCACTGTACATTTGTTCATGGTGTAATAATTCTTTAAAGAAGTCTTCTTCAAATTCCCAAACATTTAAGTCCTTGGATTAAATAAAATCACGGTGTAATACAATCACTTGTGCTCTGGGGCAGGGAATATTACTCATTCTAAACAATTAAAAAATTCCTGCCTTTCCCCAAAATCTAAAATGTCATGCCCGTCGGAATCTGATTCTGATGGGGAGGCTGAGCAGCTGACAGGGAGTGGGGTGTGACTCTGTTGGCTGTGGAAAAAACTGGGGAAGGGCAAAGTCCAGCTGGGCAGAGCAGGGGAGAGGCAGAGCAAGGCAGAGGGAATTCGGAAGAAGATCCAGGCCCATCCCCTCTTCATCCTAGGGCACGCAGGTAGGAACGGAGAAGGGAGCAATGTGAGCTAGGTAGCTTACGGGGGAGGAAAGGGCCCTGATTCCCTTCATTAGCTGCAGCTGGGAATAGAGTGTTTAAAAGGGGAGGTTATGCACAGCAACTCGTGGGAAGCAAATAGTGAGTTATCTTTTATGATCGAGGCTTATCTGGGTTCCTGGCGTCTTCCCAACTATGTGTGTTTTGTTGGCCTTTGAAGTCTGCAATTCCTTATCCTGCCCTGTCCAGTTAATTGCTGCAGCATGGTTTGTGTGGATTTTTATTTACGGTTTATACGTACTTTGTTTTTGGACTGAATTTCCTTCATTTAAAGACTGTTCTTGGGAAAGGTTTTTCTCCAGCCAAAGGTAACTGACATTGGGGGCAAAGTTGGATGTATTAAAGGAACTTTTCTGACTTATGTGACTGTGTTGCCTTTGTGCCATGCCCCACGTCATCACATAAAATTAAAAAGACCCTGAAATAATGGATGTTTATATTCGTGTGATTTTGTGCTTCTGGGCATGTGAGAAATTGTAAAGAGTCAATCTTTGTTCATGTTTATTATGCTTTTCAAATACCATCTTTTCTCATCATATGTCAAGGCTGATTATCACTATAAACATTAGTCACACAGAGAAATATATTTATGTTTCCGGAACTTGAGGGCTGAATCAATTTTTCCACCCACTCAATTTCCTAATTTACTTAATATTGTTTTTGTGGTGCTCAAATCAAGTTATTGATTCACAAATAGTTATTTTCTACTTAGACCATTCCTGAAGTATTCAAAAAATATTTTTGAAAACGGTTAACATTTAACCGAATAAATGCTTTGTTTTGAATCTAGGACAAAGAATTTTGTTCCCGAAGAGCTACACATTTCAATAAAACAAATTAAATGAAACAAAATCCAAATGGGTAATGTTGGTGAGAATGGCACCCCTCTGTTCCTTATACAACTTCCAACATAGCATATTTCAACAGCCTAACCTTCATCTTCCCAGAGCCTTTACTCCCCCCATCAACGTTCCAGCGTGAAATATCTCACCATATTCCCCTCCCAAGCTTTCCTGTACTTTCCCTTCAAACACCATTTCAATGTCACAACACATAATATACTACCAACACTTTCAATGTTCTCTTCTTTTTTTCTCTGCTATCAATTGAACTTTCTCCTTGAAAAGTAAAACAGTCCTATTTTCTTCCATGCACAGATCAATATAATGTATTTTTCTATGCACAGAAAAGAACACACAAAATATGCAAGTTTCAGTTAAGAACAGACCACTCCAAACTGAAGTGGAAACCTGCATATCCATCAAAAACTATTTTGCACATTTAATAATACATAAGAATCCAAGACAAGATGTATTCAGATTTCATAAACACAAGAAAACTTACATAATAAAATTACACACGCACACACACACTAACATAAATCTTAATTTTTCCAGACCTAATCTATTCTGAACCATCAACTCTTTACTTACATCTTGACTTAGAGCCATGAAGCACCTCTGCAGTTCCTTGGCAAATTCCAGATTATTACTGACTTCCTGGTGCTTTGACACAGCATCCTAAAGCAGAAGACAAAATTGATTTGGTCTCTTTAAAAGTATAAAAACTTGAATCTGTATTTCACATGTGTTTCTATTAAGGTTTGGTTAAATCTAACGATTTTACTTTCTATAAATGTAGCAAAATAGATACACTTTTTAACTGAAAACTGTCAAAACAAAAAGTTTTGAAAGGAAAGCAATTCCTAAACTGGAATCGTTCCCAGCAATCCAGAATTCAAAATTTGTTCCACTTTCACCAACCCCCAAAAGTTACCAGGGTCTTTAAATATTCAAATAAGTAAAGTGTGTCCCCCCAAAAAAATCTCCCAACAACCAAAGATTGGTGTAATTTTTCAACTGATGCACTGAACCATCTTTATATTACCAAACTTCATTTGTTATCCAGAACCCTAATGAAGTACTCTTTTACCTGTTTTTTTTTTAAACACACACACTGACATTTGTCACAATAGGAAGAGCCTTCAAGATTCCTACTTCTTGACTTCCTGTGAAGACATGGCCAGTAACTGAAATGTCCAGAAAATCTCCTCTCTGGACTGTCTTTTTTCCAATTCAACAACAGAAGGAAAAGGCTTCCTTTTAGTCCACTTGACTCTCTGAGATTAAGGAAAGTCCCAGAATAACCCCTCAAGATCCTCCAATAACAGCAACTGCCTGCAAGCAGTTTTAGAAGCTGGGCTTCCAAAATAACTGGTGAGCAGAAGCTGGGGGACGGAGTCGAAATCATGTCATTGTTGGTCAAAATATCCATTTTGGATTTTATTTTTCAAGTGGACAAAAAGCTGTGGCCTTGATTTCTTAAGCAATTTATGTGACTATTATCTTTACCAGTTAAAAAAAGGCTCTCTTTAGATACAACCTATCATTTCTTTTTGAAGCTCTGAAATGCCATTTTTGAGATTTCTTTATTGGTAAACGACAAGGAAGAGGATTGCTAGAGGCAGCCAAAATAATGGAGTATTTTTTTTTCTCTTGAAATACAAGGGGAAAGTTTATGGTTTTAATCTACTACTTTTAAAATAATTTGTAGCTCTGTATCATTTTGTTGTGAGTAGTTGAAATTTGCTGGTTTTTAAGAATTATGATTGGCTACAAAAAGGAAAAATAAAATAAATAAACAAACAACACTTTTTGACCACTAGGGGAGCTATGAGGATGCTTAATTCTGAGCTAGAGTCTGTTAAGAAAATCCTTGAACAGTCAATGCAGAAGATCACCCTGTTTGTAAAACAGCCAAAATATATTAATAATAAAGAGGATATCAAAAAAGAATGAGACACAATTAGGTGTAAAAAAATTATCAATTATCCACTGAGCAACTTTACAAATATTGGACAATGCAAATAACCTAAGTGACATAAATCTGACATCAGCTTTTCTTATGATGGTTTGAGTACAATCCTCCAAGTGCAACTGAAACAAGAGTATCAAGTAAATTCACAACTTTCAAGAGGTCAATTCTGAGACTTTTGCTTTACAGATACTAACAAAGTTGATAATTATTTGAGGAAAAAAAGATGATAGCCATCTTAACGAAGGAAACTATAATCTTGGAAGATTTGCTTCAGACTAATTCACATCTAACAGAACAACTTTGGGATTTTTATGGATATAAATAAAACGGAGACCTTTTTCAAGAAAAGAGACTTGATAGACTCTACTAAGAAAAATACTTTATTCTATAAAGACAAGCGGGAACAAATGACTTAAATTTAATGTCTTAGTTAGTTAGGATGGATTTTTAAAAGTTTGATATATCTATTGAAAGAAAGTTTTAAGTTAGTTTGTATGTGTAAAATGAGTATGTAAATGCATGTCCTCTATTTTTTTAAGTAATGCTGAATAATTTCCAGTTTGTAAAATACTATTGACTAGATTTGAAAATAAGAGAAGAAAAAGATCCATTCCATGAGGATAAACTCAAGGGAGAGATTAGAATTTAATTAGCTAAATGGAGTTAATTGGACTTATATTGGTATGATATAGATAATGAAAGTTCTAATGTTGTATTGTATTTTGGATTCTGGGTTAAAAATGAAAGGTTTTCTCTTTTCTCCTTTAGATATAATTCCTGAGTACTTTGTAGAACTAGTAAAATACCAAAATTAAAAAAAAATGTTTTCTCCCTTTAGGGTTAAAAAAAGATGTATTATTTCTCACAGCAAAGAGAAGCAGAGGGTTAAACTGATTTTTTTTTAATCCAAAGAACAGAACGTATTTAACCATATTTCTATTTGAGCTTTTCTGCATGCAATGAAACAAAAATGAAACTTTGATTTTGTTTTCATTAACTAGATAGGCTTATTGTTATAGAAATGGCTTGTACATACTGTTGTGTAAAAGCAAAAAGTTGTGGTTGTAATGTTATCTTCTACTCGCTAAAGAGTCGGAAGTCAGTGCCTTTTTCTTTCTTTTTCTTTCCTTTTTCTCCCTTTACACTACATCTTCTTTCTTTTCCCTCCCTTTTCTTACTTTTCCATGACTTTTTTCCTTTGTATTTTATACTTGATAAGCTAATTTAATAATAAAAAAGATTCCTACTTTTTGAACACATTCATTCATGCAGTTTCTTCCCCTTAATTTGCAATGGTGTTTTTTTTTGCCTTTCAAATAGCAATAGCACTTACTTATATACTGCTTCACAGTGCTCTATAGCTTTGCTGGCTGAGGAATTCTGGGAGTTGAAGTCCACAAGTCTTAAAGTTGCCAAGGTTGGACACCCCTGCTCTATAGCCTTCTCTACGCAGTTTGCAGAGTTAGCATATTGCCCCCAACAATCTGGGTCCTCATTTTACCGACCTCAGAAAGATGGAAGGCTAAGTCAACCTTGAGCCGGTAAGACTCAAACTGCCAAACTATAGACAGCTGGCAGTCAGAAGTAGCCTGCAGTACTGCGTTTTAAGGCTGCAACCATCATCCCCGTTCCCCAAAAAACAAATATGAACACTCTCAATGACTACAGGCCCATAGCATTAACAAGCTCCATTATGAAGGTTTTTGAGCGACTAGTTTCACAGCACATCAGAGACTGCCTTCCGCCCTCCTTTGATCAACATCAGTTTGCTTATAGAGCAAACCGATCTACAGAGGATGCTGTGGCCATCACACTTCATAGAGCGCTGAGTCATCTGGAGAACAAACAGAGCTATGTAAGGATACTCTTTGTGGACTACAGCTCTGCGTTTAACACTATCATTCCAGATATATTAGTAACCAAACTGTATAATCTGCAGGTCCCCACCTCCACGTGCTCCTGGTTTAAGAACTTTTTGACAAACAGACCACAGTCTGTTAGACTTGGCCCCCACCTTTCTTCCACTATTACACTCAGTACTGGTTCCCCCAGGGTTGTGTCTTGAGCCCCCTGCTATATGCCTTGTACACCTTTGACTGCTCACCAAGCCACGCAACAAACACCATCATAAAGTTTGCGGATGACACGATTGTGATTGGTCTCATCTTCAGAGAGGATGAGACGGCATATAGGGCAGAAGTAGAGAACCTATCTGTCTGGTGTTCACAGAACAATCTGTCACTGAATGTCCATAAAACCAAAGAATTGATTATGAGCTTTAGGAAACATGGACAGGACCACGTCCCACTCATCATCAACGGAGAACGAGTGGAAACTGTCCCTACGATTAGATTCCTTGGCAAACATATTTCAGCTGATATCTCCTGGTCCCCTAACACCAAGGCCATAGTGAAGAAGGCTCAGCAGCGGCTGCACTTCCCACGGGTTCTCAGGAAAAACAATCTGGATAAGAAGCTGTTGCTGGCTTTCTATAAAGCCTCTGTGGAGAGCACTCTGACATACTGTCTAGGTGTGTGGTATGCAGGTTCCACAGCTGAGGACAGGAAAACTGTACAGAGGGTGGTAAACACAGCTCAAAAGATCACTGGTTGCCCTCTGCCCTCCCTGGAAGACTTAGCCAGGTCCCGCTGCCAAAACAGAATCAAGGCCATCACAGAAGATCCCTCACACCCTGGTAATTATCTTTTTGACCTGCTGCCATCTAGACAGCGCTTTAGGCAATAAAATCCCACACCACTAGACTAACAAATAGTTTCTTTCCCTGGGCCATCTGAACCGCAAATAAACACAAAGTCACTACTTTATTAAGATGTGAAAAGATGTGAAATCTCAATACCTCATTCAGATGTATAATAATATATTACAGTACAATCCATCTCGTGTATTATACTCGGCAAAGCGTCACAGTCAGTGTTGGATGTATATTTTGTGTATATTCGTAGATATTGTACTCTCAAATTGCAAATGGAGACGTGGGTACTCTATTTTTCTTATCTTTATTTTTACGTGTTTTGGTTTTACTGTATTGTGAACATGCTGGGGTGCATCCACAGTTTCGTTGTACTTGTACAATGACAATAAAGTTCTTCTAAATTCTAACCACTGCACCACCATGGCTCAAATAACAAATAATAGGAATACAATGAAAAGCATATACCGTATATACTCAAGTATAAGTCGACCCGAATATAAGCTGAGGCACCTAATTTTACCACAAAAAACTGGGAAAACTTATTGACTCG